TATCTATCTATCTATCTATCTACCTATCTATCTATCTATCTATCTATCTATCTATCTTTATTTATTTTTGCCCAGGAAGTTTTGGTAGAACAGGAAGGAGAGACCTTCTCTTTTTTGTGTTACCAAAACAAGGGCTTATATAAAACATGCCTTTGATTAAAGTAGAGAGAGAAAAAGATACTCAGGACACATAGAGGAGTGAGGGATAGTGGTTCCTGTGATAATTCTGCTCTCCACAAATGTGTGATGCATCCAAAGGAGTTGAGTATTGTGCTCTGGGTTCGCACCCATATTAAAGTGTTTTATTTATTGATTTTTGTCTGAAATATGTAAGGCAAGCAGCAGAGTCATTGTATTTAAAGAAAACATACGAATTTATTTTTTTCTTTTTATTTTAAAGAAAATAGGGTACAATTCAGGGTTAGCTATACAAACGTTGATTATGCAGGTACCATTATTGATGAGGTGTACCTCTCCCTCCCCTAGCAGTTTCCCTCAACTGCCAATCCCACGCCCTTCCCCTGGCAGTTTCCCACTACTGCCAATCCCTTTCTTATAGTACTATGATAATTGTTCATGGTCTGCTTATGAGAGAGAACATATGGTACTCTGTTCTTTGTTTCTCTGATAGATCACTGAGTACGATCAACTCTAAATCCATCCAAGTTGCTGTGAAGTCCATATGTTTTTCCTTCTTTATGACTGCATAATATTCCATTGTGTATATGTACCACATTGCTTTATCCAGTCTAGCTTTGATGGGCAACATGGTTGGTTCCATGTTTTTGCTATTGTGAATAGAGCTAAAACAAATATATGTGTGAGGGGGTGCAGATTTTCAGGTCAGCCTGGGCTTTGAGAATGTCAGTTCAATGGGCCAGCCAAGCTCCAGAGAGTCACTGAGGGGCTGGTAAGCCTAGCCCCAGAAGTGTCAGCTCTCATGGGCTGGCAAGCCAAGTCCTGAGAGTGTTGCAATGGAAGGGGGCTGGCAAACCAGGCCCTGACAGTGTTGTAATTTGGGGGGCTGGCAAGCCTAGCCCCATGGATGTCTCAACTTCGGAGTTGGAGTCTTGCCTTCTTCCTATAGCTCTCCTGTTTCAGCTGGCTCTGATGGCTGGCAAGCCAGCCTCTGTGGTGCACGACTTTTCCTCTGACGATCTTCTGCAGCTCTTCAGGTTGCAGCTCTTCAGCGTCGAGGTTCTTGTCTCATGCCCAGGAAGAATGAGGGACACCGATGGCTGGGAAGTGAGTAAGTAGGATTTATTGAGAGGACAGAGAAGCTCCCATAGTGGGAGGGGACCCAAAGGGGTTGTCCATCTGGGGTTGAAAACCTGGTGTTTCTATAGTCCTAAGTCGAAGTCGATTGGCTAGCACTAGCTGTGAGCTGTAGTTATTCTGACTGGTCATTATTAAGGTAGGGACCTAATGGTAAGCTGATTGATTGCTTTTCGATCCCAGCAGTGAGGACCTAAACTCTAGCTTGAAAGGCTCCCAGGAAGCTTGTTTGCCAATGCTAGGCCTGAGAGGCTTGCTGGGAACTTGCTACATTATTACCAGAGGACCCACCTGTCTGTCTGCCTAGCCTTTCTCTAGCTATCTCCTGTCTCACAGGTATCTTTTATGTAGACTGATTTGAGTTCCTCTGGGTATATTCCCAATAGTGGAGTTGCTGGGTCATATGGAAGGTCCAATTTCTAGTTCTTTCAGATACTGCCACACTGTCTTCCAAAGAGATTGCACTAGTTTGCATTCCCACCAGCAGTGTAGAAGCATTCTTTTTTCTCCACATCCTCGCCAGCATCTGTTGTTATTTGTTTTATATATGATGGCCATTCTTACTGGGGTTAGATGGTATCTTAATGTGTTTTTTTGTTTACATTTCTCTGATAATTAATGAGGTTGAGCACTTTTTCATGTGTCTGTTGGCTGCCCGTATATCTTCTTTTGAGAAG